CACTTCCTCCCCTGAGCTCTGCCGTCAGCTTGATTTGTGGTTTCCGGCAGAAGAACAAATTCTTTGAAGTTTTTGGCCTCTGCAGAGGACTTTCAAAGGATGCTAAAAGGGCAAATCTGCCTTGATTGCAAAGGACTTTTTAGGTCAGCAAGTGCTGCACATGAGCCAAAAAGCAGTGCTGCTTTGTTTATGGCTCTCAGTCTCGCTCTCCAGATCAGGGAGGTGAAGTTTGAGGTTCCATAAGAAGAGCCCGTTGCGTTTTAAAACAATTGTCCAAACTCAAAGAAATTTCTCTTTCAGTAGAAAATAGAAGGTCAAATCCAGATCTATTTATCCCACACTGTAGAAAACATCTCACTTGGAGATTGCTAGGGAGGAAATGAAGTTTCCTGATTGCTGGGTAAAGGCTAACTAAGGATTAGAAATACGAGAGCTGCTAAAATACTAGAAAAGCTTAAAAAAAAAAAAAAAAAGTAATCTAGAAGAAAAGTGCTCCCAATGTTGTTGTAGAAGTATTTAGCTTTATTCCATGAAAATGAAAAGGTTCCTCTGAAGACAGTGAAGCAGTAGAAAATGGTCTGTCCTACGTTTCTGGTATGTTGGGATTTCTGTTTTAAGTTGCCTCTTTTGGAAAGGAGTAGCAGCTAACTGCTGAAAAAGCTGCAGAGTTACAGGCCAAAGGCAGCGTGGCTTTCGTGAAGGAGACTCAGGCCACACCGTAGCCTATGACTTTTTATTTCCAAGCTCCTATTATCAATACTGACCTGAACATGGTATCTGGCTCTTCTGGAGTGATGCTCAGAACCCAGATGATGTCCGTCATGAGGATCAGCAGACCCCTGTTGCTGTGTTGTTTAAAGGAATGAGGAAAACTTAAAAAGCATTTTTCTTTAGGGGTGAGACGACGAATAGTTGTTGGCAGCCCACGTCTGGACAGCGATTTCCAGTACACAGGGCGAGGGAGAGCCTCGGCCCAAATAGGGGTGCCCATAAGGAGGACAGAGCTGCCCTGAGCAGAGCGAAGGCTGGGAGTGGGGATGGCACCAGCCTGGTGCTGCCAAAGCTTCAGGTTTGCGGTGCAGCATGTGTGCAGCCTGCCAGTAGGAGGGCGCTTTGTGAGCCTCCAATTCTCAACTCTAAAATGGAGATAAAAATTTTTACTGAGCTATCTGGATAATATGGTAAAGGCCTCGGATAGCTCAGATTCACCATTCAGCCCCGATTCTGTTGAGTTTTGAAACGCTGCGAAGCTGGAGTACTTATCCACCTTGACTGAGTATCTGTGGTTTATTGGACGAACTGATACATCTTTTTTATGCAGCTGCCCTCTGCTGAGGCTACTGTTTTGTTTTGTTTTTTTGTCACAGGACTGTTGGTCTTTGAGGGGATAGATAGATACCTGGCACTTACTCAAAGTGTTTGTTTTAGTTTATCCACCTTTAAAATGGAACAAGTGTTTACTTCCCATACAAAGAATGTGTTGTTGAGATGACTGACTTCTGTATGATTTGTTAAGAACGTGAATTTCCATAGGGACAAGTAGTAGTACCAGTATTTGTTGCTTTGTTGTTTTCATATAACATTTTATTTTCAAAATAGCTTATTTTGAATGTTATGCTTTTACTACAAGGTTGCAGAATCTAGTTTTCAGAGGTACCCAATTCACTGACATTGGTAGATAGCTGGAAATAGAGTATAAATAGATGACCAATAGTATGTTAAAAATGTCTTCAAGTTTCTTTCTAATTGTATTACCAATGTTGTAAACAATTCCCAGAGAAGTAGTATCAAATAACTTTTTGTAGTTACAGTAGCTTGCGGAAGAAAGGCTTTCAGAAATGATTTCTGTTGCTCATGTGCTTTTTTCCACCTTTAACTAAAACACATTGTATTCCTTCTCCTAGGTTTCTGGTCCAGTTCAGACAAGATAAAGTGTGTGTGAAGTTCATACAAGGCAGCCAGAAAAATGGCAACATCCCAACTTGCAAACGAAAAAACAATCGGCTTCTTGAAGTGGCTGTCCCTTAACTGCAGCTGGTCGCTCTCTCTCTCATGGACTTGTTTCTTTGTAATAGTGCAATTTTGGATGTTTGGTTTTTCTGGTTTTATCCCTTTCTGAAGCTGCCAGTGGCTAATAGCTTTAGAAACCCTTGAGAAAAATATTTGATCAATTGACTTTTTAATCTTTTCTTTCATGCTGTAGTTTTAACCCACGAAATGCATATTTTTGCCCAGTGAGACATTTTTACCAGAAGTATCTGTTATACATGAAACATTCTCTTTGTTTAGTGGCCATATTTTAGTGCAGCATACCATAAAATCACATATTAATGACAAATTACTCATATTCCTTAGACTAGAGATCTGCTTAACAGAAACTATAAAGGATCTTGATGTTTATTGGTAACTTGTGCCCATTGTCTTTTTATACCAACCTGTGCTGGTCTTCTACAGGGTTCCCTGTTTGCCACCATTGGAGAGACTGGCAGGACTGAGACTGAAGCACTAACTTTAATATTGAACACTAGGATGTATGTAACTTGATCTTTTCGCAAATACAGCACAGGAACATCGAATTTTGCAAAACAGAAGGAAGGAATGTATGATTATACAAGCAGTTATGTGCATAATTTTTTAGTAAAAATGCAGAAATTTTGAAACAGGATTTTTAATTAGGTCAAATATTTTTAATGACTTTATACAGTAGAAAACAGTGAAATTAAAGAGGCTTGTTTCTTTCACAAGAAGTATGTAGTTCAAGGCATATTTTATGTTCTGCTTTTTTCCTTAAATTATCAGGTCAAATTAGATCCTGAAAAATGCCGTAGTATTCGTAACGCAAGTAATTGCTAGGTATTTAAACTGTTAGTTATCAAGTGGAGGGTTTGAGCCTTTTAGATATTGGCATGTACAATGTGCAATAAAACATACATGACATTTTGTGAAAAATTATTTATAATACATTTTTGTGTACAAGAGAGGATTGGTGCAGCCTGCATAGACAATTTAAAATAGGTTTATATTGTTAATTTGCAGTTTTTTTTTAGAATGTACACTACAGTTGTCAATCTGGGAAGAATACTGAGAATTAAAAATTTCTTCATTTAGGGGTCTGTATATAAATTGGTATTATGGTAATAAAACTGTTCTAATTCTGTGCTGTTTGGTACCCCTATGTTATAACCATATTTTTGTATTCCAAATTATTTTGTAGAAGTTGTGTGCCTGATGTAAATGTGTGCACAGAAAATACAATCAAGAACTGCATTATAAGCTGTCAGTGTAACTGATGCACTTAATCTTTTATAAACCAGAAGCGTTAGCTGAAATCCTTAAGGGGAGCTGATTTTTTTAGGTAGAAATAGCTACTCAAGTGAAGGCTTTGTTGAATGTGACTGATGTGTTGACGCAAGGACAGTTGAGAAGGCATTGTATTTTTGCAGTCTGATACAGGATAGATTAAGAACCTGGGTATCCATTGCGCAGTGCTGAAAGTCCAAGCATAAATAAAGTAAAGATAAAGAAAAGTTCACAGTCTTGTTAATCTCTTGCTGGTAAAGGTACGTAGTACCCCTGGCTGCGAAGGTTCCCGTGGGCCGTTCAGCTGCAGTGTTGGCTCTCTGCGATAGACGTGTGTTCGTTGCGACAGACGCCGTAGAGCTAACGGCGGCCTCCTTGCCAGTCTGAAAACAAAGCTGTTTTGAGTTTTTATCACATTTTGGTTTGGGATTAAGATTTTGCTATGATTTGGGTACCAAACAATTGTTTTAACTGGTTTCTTAATGTTGCTGTTAAAAGTTTATGCGTGTGACCTTGAAAGGTGGGAGTAGTCAAAAAATGTAATTTCCAAACAATGATAAAACGTTTACCTCTTCGTTATGATCTTAGTTTGAACCCTTCTTTCAATAATTTTTTTAGATTAATAGTTTAGTAAAATTAAAGCATTTTAAATGTATTTAATTAGAGATGCTTACGAAGAAAACCTTAGTTTCAATTTATAATGCAAAATTAGGATACTTAAAATTATTGCCTTAAGAATGCAGCACGTAGTAACATGGTATTTAAAACTGTGTTCTTCCCAAAGCTCGTATTGCAATTCCTGCTTGGTAAAAGACTGGACACAAAGTTTGCAAAGCTGTGCAGGATCTTGAAAACCTTACAGTAAGAACCACAAGGGGCAATTTTTTAAAGGGAAGCAAAAGTAAGGGAAACAGACGTCTGAAGTCTGATGTAATCCTGTAGTTTTTTGTAGGTAGGAAATTGGAGGGTTTAGATGAAATACTTTTGGGATATTTGACCCTTTTATTCTTTTGATCTTTGCAGCAAGTCATGATAAAAAAAAAATTAATTATATTCTGTATCTGTTTTTAAAATAGCCATACTAACATAACACTGGAAGGGTGGGAAATTCTTCACTTTGATTTCAGTTGTGCCATTTCTTTTCAGGATTTAACCTGCATATTAGCTCATGCTTTGCGGTAATTACCTTTTGACACTTAAATAATTCTCTATGTACAGAGTTAAGTTTTGCTGAATATAAATTATTCAGATATGCTAGTTGAGTCATGCTATTTTGATGTTTAGATTTAAGTATCTAGGATGTTGAAATAAAAATGCAAGATCAGCTTTTTTCTTCTTTTCCTCTGTTCTCTTTTATAACCTACTGTCAAATGGAGTAGTGAAGAAAAGACAACGCTCTTATGGTGCTAACCTTACACATCCTTTTATGTGTAAATTTTCATTTGTCATCTGAAAGCCAGGCAAGGATCATTTAAAAAATGAGATTTGTTTCATGAAATTTTACAGATTCAAATAAAATTCTGTTCCTAGACCTATGCTTTCCTCTATATCTGTATCTTCCTTGTTACCATAAAATCTAAAAAGGGCAGGCAGATTAGATTTTACGTTAAGTATACATGACATTGGTCTGTGACTTCAGAAAAATGACATTTGTATTTTATGTGTGGTTCCGTAAGGGGCAATATGTGTTTCCAAATGATTCACGACAGCGTTTTTCAGTACTGTGGTGCGGTGCGGTGTGAGGGAGGTAGGCCTGTTCCTAGGCACTGCTTTCTTTGAAATATTCTGCTCATTCAGCTTCCCTAATGTCAGGATTTGGATGGGTTCCCTGGGAACAGGATTAATAGGCCAAATTAACTAGATTTTCAAAAAATGGCTGTGAGCCACAGGCCTGTCAAATTCTACATGTTTCATCTTATGATTCTTTTCCTCTCCTTTTTTCTGAACCATTTTATCCTGACACACCTATATTTTGTTCATCATACGAATTATAGAAGAAAAAAATTAAAATGTAAAATCAGAAAAAGCCTCTTCAGTGTTAATGCAGGTTTGATCTCTGCTTCATCTTTGCCAAAAAAGAGCACTTTTCTAAACTGTTTTGGAAACAGTTCAAGGCTTGATATGAAATGAGATCATTTTCCCTGACCTGATCGTCATAACTTTCAAAGTTAACTCTGAAGCCTTTATATCCTTAATCTTGAGGAACAAAATATTTTCCATATTGTACAGGAAGATGGTCCTAGTTATTTAGAAAATGGCAATGTAGTACTATGACTGCTTTAAGATGGGAGGGAGGGAGGTGCACGTGCTTTGGGCATTAGAACTTCCCAACAAACGCGAGATTCGAAGGCATGACTGAAAGTGTTTTAAAGGGGTGCTGGCAACTTAAAACAACGCAGACAAGCGTGAATTCTGGTTTTCCTGCTATCTAGCTTATGTCTTTATTGGAGTATTTGGTAGCTTATACAGACCAGTCCATTTTCATTGACAATGAGTTGGGGGGAAAATTCTTCACAAATGTTTGTTTAAAAAAAAAAAAAAACCCTCAAAGTGATCCAAATTTTCTGGGAACTGCTTATAATCATGTAGATATATATATGTTACTTTCCTGTCCCATCACCTTCCAGTCAAAAATAATTAAAAGTTATTGGCACGTCGTGAGATCTTGCACACATTCCAGCAAAGTATTTGGCAAATTGCACTACAGACCTGCCTATCCAAAAAGTATGTGACCTGTTAAGCAGTTTCAGAAGACTTCATGCGGGCAACGTTGTCCTCCCTCGCGGAGAACGGCACTTTCCTGCCAGTTCCGGTTCCAGTGGGACTTTCCATTTTACTGCTAACTGGGGTGGTTTCTCCCAGAGAGACAGAAAACAGCTTTGCAGAGCAGCACTTGCCTCTGCTGAAACATCAGTTTCATGCATATGAACAGCCACCGCTCTAAGCACATACAGTCCATACCCTACACAGAAAAGCCACGTCCTTTCTTGCAGGAAAAGAAAAATGGCAGCAGCGGTCGCTCATTCAGCAGCGATGGATCTCTCCGTTCTTCTGCACTGTTTGAAAGGAGAATGTAGCAGATGAGGTATTATGTGAATTTACAGTTGCTGTTAATAACTCCTGTAAAAATGTATTTACATACGTTGGGACAGGTTTGGACTGGCTGGCCTCAAAAAATTACCTGGAATGCATTTGGAATGTGAACGCAAAGAGGAAAAAGAACTGCTACGAATTTGTCTTTTTTTAAGGAAACACATAAATCACTATTTCTCGTCTAGTTGTATCTGTCTATGGTAAACTAGGGCTGTTAAGGGATTGGGGTTGTGAGAGGAATATCATAAACTTAATCCCAATTTACTGTCAGCTGGAATCAGTTCTATTTCTGTTCCTTTATTCACATGGGTGAGCTGGCTATTTAGGCTGTAATTTAAGATATGAGCAAATTTTGAGGACATTGCAGTTAACTTTGATTATGATCAATTGATGTAATTGTGTCCTGAACGATTTTTAGAAAGAGATTCCCTCTCTCCATCATCCTAAACTTTTAAGACATTGACATGTTTATGAAAAAACACAGCAAAATTTTGAAGTATGGAGCCCAAAAGCCTTTTACATGAGTTAAAAGAAAATTTGAAGAACCTGAATATTTTTTTTCTTAATAATTCAATGGATTTCCAAGGCTGCACCCTGCACTTCACCCAAGGTAAGGACCTCTTTGCTGTGTAACTTTCTGCTCCCTATGGTCTTTAAAGATTAGATGAAAACTAAGTAGAGGGGGAGTAGTTTTAAGGAATAACTGCACCCTAGAGTGAATATGCTCTTGAAACATGCACACTCCATGCATTTCAGCTGAAGTTTTCCACTTCTCCATTATTTGCCAAGTTAAAAATCTAAAAATCCTTGTGCCAAATTCTCTTTTGCTGCTCATTACCCTGCATGAAGGAACTGGCTGGCCGTGCTAACAATAGGATAGTGGTGCTGCTGGGAGTTGTCTGACTCCCAATATCTGACTTCTCGAAAGCAGCAGCAAAGTATTTTGGTATGTTCCACCTCAACGTGCCACGTGTCAAAGGCATACTCTTGCAGGCAGTAGGCTTCATGGGGCTAATACCACCTGCTTTACAGATCCCAGAAACGCAGCCCTGGTGCATGCCCTGTCGGCTGCCTCTCTGTGCCGAAGCACAGTCAGAAGAGGCAGGTGGCCT